CGCATAACTAATTGTTATTTGGATTGAGACTAAACATAACGGTATCATGGGGAAAAATGTCTGCAGTCTGGTCAAATTTTTAGGCTTACTTAACATTAATTTTTTTTTGGTTCTTCTTTCTGTCTTTTTTTTTTGCTCTGATTTCGTAGTGTTAGTAATAATGTTGTTTTGTGGAAGGTTTTGGATGGAAATTATTCTGTTTTTGTCTTTGTGATATCAAAAAATTGTTTTCTTTTTGTTGTTGTGGTTATTGTGCTACAAAAACTGCGTGATTATGTTTTGGAGTGGAAAGCTTTTTTGGCTAGATTTTACGTGGGCAATGCAGTAAATAATTACAGTACTTACTGAACTTTGTTGAGTAGCATTCAATCATTTTTAAATACCAATAATTAGGTTTTTGTTTTTAGCGTCAGTTGAATCGAGAATACAAGTAGTTTTGCGCAGTTATTGCTACTGCTACTGATGCTGATGTTGATGTTCGTCGGTGATAATGATCCTAATGATCCTGATGATGATGATGGCGGTGATAATGGTGGTGATAATGATAATAATGATGATGGTGATGATGATGGTTGATACTATACGCGTTTTCTGCCAGTTGCTTGATGTGCTTTCTTCAGAAAATTCCTGTTGCCAATCAACGGATTAAAACCGTTGCCTTTTTTTTTTCTTCTATCATTTAGTGACTTAGATAATACTGCTATTAATTATCGTCTGCTCGATATTTCTGGGAAAAGCTTTATTGATACTACTGCTGTGTATTTGATTGTGTCAAATATTGTTTTATAGACCTTTTCATTATCCATTTTGGGAAAAAAACTGATTATTTTGATGAAAGAAAAAAATTCTTTTGAAGCAAATTGGAAAGTTAAAAACTTTATTATTTTTTTAGCAAGAGCTCTTTTTAGATTATTTTTGCTTTCGTTAATATACTTTTAAAGAGCGTTTTATCTAAAATATATTGTTGTTTAAGAAGTGTATTTGATACGTTAATCTAGCCTATTTAGAAGAATGAACAAAAAGCAAAACAAATTTCTAATAGCATTAAAGTTTGCCTTTTTGTTTGCTGTGATCACCTCAGTTGTGGAATGAAAGGTTCTTTTTGCTGACAACAGAAACATGTAAAATTTTATTTTATTTATTTTATTTATTTTTTTTTTTTTGTGTAGAATTTTTCTGTTGTATTTTTTTCCTTTCTTTATCTTCGTGGTCTTCTTCATGTCGTTCTAGTCTTGTTAAAACAAAAGCAGATTGCATTGGTCTTGTACCGCAACGATTCACAGCGTTAATGGTGCCTTATGCTGATATTTATAATATGTTTGACTTGAGAGCTTATTGAAGCAGTGATCGAACTTTGTTTGTATTATTAGTTTTTAGCTGCACTTACATGCTTATTTTTTATCTCAGATATACCGATTGATACGATGGTCAGAAGTCAGTGTCTTTTTTTTTTTTTTTTACTCTCAAGCAAGTATATTTCCAATTGGGATTGTTGATGTCAAGACCTTGTCAATGAACTAAATACCAGGTATTTGCTTACCTTCTTCTCTGTTATTTTTCAATCAGCATTCCTGGATCTGTGCTTATCTTGGATTATTTATGTTTCGACTCTGTTCAGTGACTTTGTCAAAGTTTTAAACTAACTTTTATGATGTTGATGTCATCAGATAAAATATTTTTGTCATTACTTTGTAGCTGTTGCTTTGTTGGTTTTTAAAATTTTTATTTCAACTATTTTTGACTTTTGATTTTTGATTTTATGTTTTAATTTCTCTTTCACTTGTTATACGGTAATACTTTATTTTGCAGCTGAAATTGCTAGCTTCTTCCTGTCTGGTTTTTTTCCGCTCTCTTTTAAAGCATACAATAAACGCATTGAAAAAAGAAACCGATATGAATTAACATAACAAGTAAATTTTCACTCACAAAAATCGAAAGCATTAAAAGTTATTATTATGAAACTGGTCTAAACCAAGAAGCTTTATTCATTAACAAATGCAATTACATGTGACAGATAAAGTGACAGACTGAGTTAAAGTTCTCCACAGCTTCGAATTCTTATTTCTGCTGTAGTTTTTCCTTCCTGAACTCCATAACCTTCAATGGTGCCATAGGATTCCAATTTATCAAGTGTATCCCAACCTTCCACTACTTTTCCAAATGCTACGTGATAGTCGTCTAACCTGCAAGTTTAGGCAATTTCAAATAAATAAACTTTTTTTTTGTTCGTTTTGATGCCTGAAGTTAGTGAGCTTACTCATAGTTCACTTTTCACCAGTATATCAGTTCTGGAAGTTTATTATTGGAACCTTTGATGGCTAACCTAATTTATTGCTGGTGAGAAGCTAACATATTTAGCTTTTGAAAGTATTGACGAATTTCAGTGACCGGTTTAAAGCAGCCTTAGATAGATCTCTTTTCAATTTTTTAGAAATGTAGTAAAACAAACAGAATTCACTATCAAAAAATCAAAGTCATTAAGGTTTTTTTCATAATTGCTACGTAGAGAAGTTTGAGATTTTTGATTAGGATATGATATACCAGGGAGCCTCGTCAAAGGTGATAAAAAATCTGGAGCTGACAGTATTTGGCCACCCATAATTGTCCATAGAAAGAACACCACGACTGTCATGTTTGAGTTCAAAATTTTCATCGTCAAAATATTTTTCTGCATAGATTGATCGTCCACCTGTTCGATCGGCATTATTTGTTTCAAAATCGCCGCTCTGCAATGATATTTAACAACAAAGTGGTCATCTATCCAGATGCTTCATTTTAAATTGGATGAACTAGTTAAAGAACATTAATAAAGCTAGCGTTTAGAGCTGATGAAGTGACTTATTTTAAATAGCAAACAGTAAATTAGTGATTTGACGGTCAGGGAGTGAAAAACAAACACAAGCGCAAAATCCAGGAATGACACGGTAAAAAATGCAGCCTTGATATCCAAAACCTTTTTCACCTGTACACAGCGCTCGAAAATTTTCAACTGTTATTGGGCAAACATCGTTTCGTAACTAAAAAAGAAACAGTTTGTGCTTATTGAGTAGGATAAATACAAAAGATAAGGGGTATGATTTTTGACTATTCTTGTCAAAAATGCTTAGATTATTCATAATTTTGACGTTTTCTGCAGTAAATGTTGAATTAACATCCAAATAAAAACAAATGTTTCGTAGGATATGGTTAAAAATAAATTTATTAAAACCTCAAAAATAACTTTTCCTATTGGCTGACCATCAGCAGTCAAATCCATAAAAACTCGGGGTAATGGAGCCGCCATTTAGAGTACAATTTAGACAGAACACTGCTGTGACGATGACCTATGAACAAACTGCGACGACATCCACACTGGTTTTTCGTTTCAGAAATTGGCTCTCATTATGCAGTACTATATTAGACTAAAATAGTCCGATGAAACTAATACAGATATTATATATCTATGTGAAGGTGCCTGCTGAATAGAACAGGCTAAATTATGCATTGCAGCATTCCAAATTTGCTGAGTTTTTACTTTGATCAAATTGTTTTTCCAAAGAACAATAATCGATATTTTAAACTAAGGCTGCCTTCTTTTTTCTACCTAATTCTTTACTGTTTCCATCTTTTCTCTTAATTTTATTCTTCATTTTCCAAACCTTTTTCGCTTTACTGTTTGGCGCTTACTACAGGTAGGCTTGAAAAGGTGGAAAATAGATGGAAAAGCGAAGAAATTTTGTTGAAATGTTTATTTTCTACAGAAAGTCTGAAATGTAGCCCAGGGAGGTTGATCAGAAAAAAGGTCTTTTACAGCAATGTCACTTCTGTCTTACTACTTTGGCAGCGCTACAGTTAGGTGCTGGTGTTATAAAGGAGCTTTTAGAAGTGCAGTTGAATGATTCTGTATTTTATGTTAAGAGTTAAAAAACATTCTTGAAATTTTTTATTTAGAACATTGCGCTCTTCAGCTTTATCATTACTGACAAACTTTCTGCAGCAAATTTTTGGTAGTAATAAAACAGGAAGGATTGACTTTATAAGACAATATGATAGCGTAAGACGTCTAATTGAAACATTAGTTTATTTTTCTGTTTTGGTTGTTGGCTCTTTCCTCCCTATAACGTTGCTGAACAAACCAGCTGGAAAAACGTTTTTTAAAACCCAGTCGTTATGACTGCTTCAGAATCAGCTAAAACTGTCTACGAACAGAGAAAATTTAGTTTAATTATATTGTCTGTAAATTATTTCATTTAAACAGAATAAATAAATTAGAGTACAAACTTGGCAACTCTCAAGAGCAGCATAAGACATAAATTGCAAATTTGTGGAGCAGAACTGAGGGTTTGATTTAGGTTTACAAGTAATGTTTGAGTTAAGCGATCAAAAATCTTCTTATTTAGCTTAACCATCTAATTAAGTCTTCAATAAAACAGTATCATAAAGTTTATACAATTTAGCACTTTTTATTTAACTAAAAAATGCTATATTTTAGGTTGGAAAAGAAATTATTGGGCAGATCTCAATCAGAATGTCGTCAATGTTTTGAATTGAAGTTAATACTTTTATTCTTATGGTAAAACTTCATTCTATTTAGCCGAATAACAGCACTTTCGGTTTCCGGAATAACAGAGAAAAAAAGAACATTGCAGACATTTTTGATGCTTTGATTTCTACAGTATAGGATACATTCAATTGCTGCAGTTTGAAGAGATAAAATAGAGAGTGAGAACAAATTTTCTGCTGTATAACAGAATCAAAATTTGAGGCATGCAAATAAAGTAAATTTGCTAGCGAACATTTTAGACAGAATATTCCATAATCTAACAATTTTTATTTTTCATATTAAAGTTTTTTTGCCACTCTACTGTTCTAGGAGTATCTCCTGGTCGCCGAAGTCTCGGCAGAACAGTGTTTATTCAGTATATAATTCTTTTACTTCATACTGAAACATGTCACAACAAAAAACTTTTATTCTGATTTTCAATTTGGTTAAGTTTTTAAGATTTGTTTTTTTTTCTACTCTTTTTTCCTTTACGCTGCAATTGTTTACCTATGCGAACAATATGTGGGAATTTCAATTTTCAAATTCGCATAACTCATTCTGACGTAGCAGAGGAAAGATTTCAAATTTCAGTTTAAGGATACAAACCATATTGTCAACTTTCTGAGGAATTCTTTTAGTTTTGTTTATATATTTAAAAACAATAAATTTGTTAAATAATACAGACAACTTATTTGTTTTATCCTACTTACATTTTTCTTCTATAATTACATTGGTTACTAAATTTACAGCAAATAATTTGGTTCACAGACAGAGGCAGAATGTTTGCTTAAACGGTGTTACAGATCAACTTTAATTTCTCCTACTTTTTTTCTTTTTTTGGTGCACTAGTTTAAAAGTGTTGTAAACTTACAATGCAGCTTCTATTTTGTTGAACGTTTCAGCTGTGATCTAGCAATAGATTTTATTTACTTCTACATAGCTAGTTTGAACGATCGCTGTCCAACTTTGGTAAGTATTTAACAATAACCAGTCTAATATTTAGGAAAAGATGATGATGGTCATTGTACTCGTCAACTATGTAAAGAAACTTTTATTTCTTAAAAACTTTATGTCACCAGTGGACAGAAGACAAGAACAGACAAAGGTTTTTTACATCTGCTTACCCGTTGACTAAATTTGAAAGGAAAAACTGTTTGTTGGTGCGGTTTGAAGTTCCGACGTAATAGACTAGTCGTAGTTTGTTCCAATTGTTGGTAGTAGTTTAGAGCAGAAGATGATGAAATGCTTCGTTGAACAACAGTCTAATAACTGATAACTGAGCAGCAACATGCAGAGAGGTGTTTGGGTGACACTATGAAAGGTTAGAGAAATTCTGCGTTCAACGGTATGACCTTAACAAGGAATTTTCTAGCCGAAAGTATTGTGGATCAGTCAAAGCGGCATCTCACATTTGATAATGTTATTAGGTGAGATGTATTGAGCAGATTGTGACGTAACTGAAACACCTTTAAAATTTTGTTGTTTTTTTTTTTTTGTCACAATTTTTTATCCATTTTTACGCCTAATCTTTTGGTAAACAGATTCTTATAGCGGTATCTTATATGAGTTAACGGAAATTTATTAAGCAAAAGCAAAAAAAGTCGCTTAAATTGCTTTTGTATGTTTTCAGTCTAATCGAAACTCATTAAAATGCTTAGTAGTTTTCGATAATCTGCTTTTCTTTTTATTCTCAAATAACTCATTGTTATAAAATCGTTTATTTGTGTACGGAAAAATCTGTAGATTGTTTGCTTCTGGAATTGTGAATATCAGAACCAATTTATGATACGCATCAGAAATCAAATTAAATTAAAACGTCTACAATAAACTGCTTGAATTGCAATATAACTTATTGCATGGTCTATTTGGCTAGAAAGTAGTTTCTTTGAAGTATTCTTCATACAATATTACTACTAAAATGGCATTTTCGCTTCTCTTATGCAATAAATTTCAACTGTTTGTATCGTTTTTGTGCTTTTATACAGAAAAAAAAAAACAATCTGTTTGATAGTTGTTGTGCTGAATTTGACAACTTTGTTTCTTATATTCACCTTCTTTTTGCTCTGTGACTATTCGCTACGATCAAAAATAGAAGTTGTCCTTAGCTGGAAAAAGTTTGACAGAGGAAATGAAAAAAGAAAAGAAACAGAATGTGCTGCAGAACACTTTGTTAGGATATTCTTTTTGAAACATCTAAACGGAAACATAGTGACAAATTCAAGTTTAAATTATGCATTCTAGTCAAAGTAACATAGTGATTTCTTTTGAATACGCTCGGTACATACTGACAGATTCTGTTAAACAGAAGGTCTAAAAAAATTTACAGAACCTTAAAAAATTTATTGTTTCAATCTTTTAGTTTCTTTTTTTTT